GTGGATCACTTGTTGAATTGGCAGCTCGAAACTTGCATTGGGTTGTGAATGAACCATGTACACGGAGGCCAAGTCTAGCTCTTCGCCATTGTCCGCTGTCATGGCCGCAACTGCCGTGCTTGGTTGCTCAGGCGTCCAGTGGACATACTGTGCTCCGCATTTATTGGCGAAACGCCCTTGCCTGACACACTGGAAGCATCTTGAGGACTTGTCTCCTCTCTTGTGCTGAGGCGTTCCGGAATTTCCAGCCATTCGGTATAGCTCCGCCTCGCTCTTCAACTAATGGCTTTCTATGCTATTGACCTCTGCGCCGGCTACCTCCGCAGCGGTCGCTAAATCTTCTGCCTCTTCCCGTGTCAACTCTCACTTTGCTAAAAGCTAAAGCTGAACGGTCTGACTGCGCACACCACACACGATACAGGTCCCGCAGCATACGGTCCAGGCTGCCCCCAAAATCGCAGTTTCGGCGTTTTGTCGGAGCTTCACAATAAAATCTTGTACGAACTCTCCTTCCTGCTGTTGTCGGTTATAGAAATCTTGAGGCTTTCCGCCATCTGTTAGTCTTGGGGGCGTAGTGCCGTCCCAGAACGACGCAGACTTCCCTATACGCCAGTTCATTTCCCTTCCGTGGCCGCACATATTCCGCTCAGAACTCCAATCGTTCTGGAGCAGAGAGCAGCGACCAATAACGTCCGGTTCTGCATATCTTGGGTAGTTGCATTTTCCTCATAGTACGCTTGAACTCGAACAACATAACTTTCTCACTTATCTCTTTTCTCGTCGAGGAAGGGGGCTGGAAATGTTGTCGCTGTTGCCCTTTTTTGCAGATGCCAAGGCTTGTCGGGTCGGTTGCTTGAGCTCGGCTTCTCACCACTGCTAAAACTTGTCCGGAGTCCGGCGCTCGGGCCTTTAGGTGAGATGCGCGACGCGCCAGGTAGACATGCTGCTTTGGGGGCTGGTACAGAATGACAGTTTATTCCATGAGCCCAAAGATGTAACACCAGTCACAAGCTTATGACATCAAAACAGAAATCAAGTTATATTTTTTATAACAACAAAGGGCAGCTACAAGAAACTAGTACATACCAACAAAGAGTAACACGCGGCGTGCGCTGCCGGAACGTTTACAGCATTTTCGAGCCACTGTGTCTGAAAGAGGCACGTGACAATCGATTCGTTGAACTTCTAGTCTAAGATTATTGTCCATTGTACAGTTGATTCTTATTTACGGAATCCAAAACTCGGAGAAAATGATTACATATCTTCAGCATAGGGGGGAGGGTGTAGCTTCTAGATTCTCCATCGACATGCAGGATATGCTCCACTCCACTCCACTCGACTGACTCGCGTCAAGTCTGTGGACCAACATCGGAGAACAAGGCAGCACGGCATTTTAAATCCAGGCAGGAATAAGTGTGGACACCTTCACAAATCTGCTTGTCGTGTACTTAAAGCAGCAGTAGGAGACCACGAAGGGCAACAATATGTGCAAAGCGGTGGTATGTCCATTGGCTATGGGAGACTTCCTTGAATTATGACATGTATTTTTGACAGCATGTGAAAGAAAACTCCTGAGAAAACTGAAGGACTAGAATTTCAACGTTATCTTCAGGTATGTTGGTGATTTCTTAGTACTGTGCACAGCAGAGGTTGGAGAAGACCGGAGAGGTTTTGTGGACAGAGTACTGAAAACGTTTCAGGAGGGTTGTTCAGACCAGGTCTTCAGACATGAGCTACCAGAGAATAATTCCATTAAGTTCCTAGGCCTTTCCTTGAAAAAAAAAAGGTCACATAGGCTGGAATTACGAGCCCCACTTATGCAATTGCTTTCTTCCCTATGGCTCTGCAAACTTGAACTTGAAGACTATTAAACAAAGTATTGGTACCACGGCACTTATAACTGCCGTGAAAAAATTGTGTCATCATACTGAGCCCAGTTTCGTAAGACACGTGTTTTGATTACAAGAGCCAGAATATCCTGATGATCACCCGGCATGAGTGTACGAACCTATGCATGAAACTCAAACGCACATCACCAAATTCCAACAAAAGAGAGGAAAACAAATCTAGACGGAATATCGCAATGATTCCATATCTTCATGGGATAACTCAGAGATCAAGAAATATCGCTGAAAGAAAAACGTGCAGGTGGTCTGTTCTGCCTAAAGCAAAACCTACTCTATGTGTCACCGAGTGAGTAAGAGAGCCAGCCAGGGTAAGTAGTGCAAGACTGCTCATAGGACCGCTCCTACATCCGGTGTGAAACTGGAGTAGTCTACTGCTTTTCTCTAACATGAGGCAAGTGTTATATCGGCCAAGAGGCCTATGCATTAATGAAAGGACTCGATAGCAAGCGGCAGTAGTAAATAACACATCAGCAGGACACCTTTCAACCCACTGGAGGACTTGTGAGTGTGGCTCAGCCCTTATCAACGTCAGCATTCTTGCAAGGAACAGATATCAACACGCAAAAGAAATGTTCGAGGCATTAGCTATTGAGGAGAATGCAGATTACTGTATTAGCTGTACCCCAATCGCGTTACATGACAAAGAACGAATTTAGAGGAGGACACTTAAGACTGCTTGCGTGTAGGAATGGGAAAACATTCCTACATGGCTGCGCATTCCTACAAGTAGCGCGCCCCGCTCCCCTGCAGCGCGGAGAAGAGTGGGCAGTGCGCCCTCTTCCTCTGCGGCGTGACATGGCTGAAAGCAGAGTGTAGAACACGTGATACAGCAAAGCATAAGGAGAGGGAATTTTAATTTCCAGCTCCCCCTCCCCCCTTCCCCCTACGGACCTCCGGCCACGCCTGACACGTGGCGCGAAAGAAAAGAAAGAGCGGCGGCCTCGAGTCCAAACCTCCCCCGTTTACTGGCGCGAGGGCTTCAGCGACAAAAAGAGAGCTTCTCCGTGGGGTGGCGTTTCTTGGAACTATAAGGCGTCGCAGCTAATGAGAATTTAAACGCCGTTTTGCGCACACAGTTTAGGTGCCGTTTTTCGTGGGCGCAGACAAGGCCTCTTTCACTCCTAGCGGTAGTTAATTCTTTCGCATTAAATTGATATCTGCGGTGAGCTGCGTCCAGAGGATTGTACTAACAGTACTTCGATAACGCTTCCTTGTATTTAAGATTTGCTGTAGCCCATGACTAGTGGTCAGCATGTATGACTGATATGTGCTTATTTTACATTATTCGTATTTACTTTTCATTTCTTTATTTGTCTTCTTTATTAATTCTTTCACTTTCTTTCTTTTGAGATCTTTCTTTGTTTTTATTATGTTTTCAAATGTTAACTAAATTATTGAATCTTATACGCCTCGCAAGTGGGCTCATATTCGTCTTCTGCGCATGAGAAAGGAAGTAGCGGTGGCGTCAGAACGCCGAGCCCTGATTGGCTGATCGCGACCCCCTATCTGAGCGTCATCTGCTCCTTTGCAACGTCGTCTGCTCGCAACATCTGCGTCTGTCTTACCTTTCCTGTGACTTTCGGAAGTCGAGCAAGCTCGACTTCGCCTTTCAGAGAGGGCAGGAGAAATAAACCGAGCCGTACGTCGTTTTTGTCTAACAACTAGCAGACGCGCATCAAGGAGGGAAGTCGAAGGACTAACTGGCAAGGTGTCCCGAGGCGCCGAGGTTTGTCTGCTAGGAACCGAGAGTGAGTGTGTTAGTGTCCGCAAGTTCCCTCTCAAATACTTTTTCCCTCCTTTCGGGGTGCAACGAGACACCTCATTCTTTAACGGCGTCGGCGGGTTGGCGCAGTAAACGTCGTCTGCTTTACGTCTGCTAGTCAAAGCGATGGCTGCTTTACCTTTCTTGCGTCTGTCAGAGATTCACCGCTTTTTCACCGGCGAGAGTCACCGTTGCCTCGGGAAACAAGGAGATAACAAGAGTAAGAAATTGACCTCTTAATCTAAAATTGAGGTCAGCGATCAAAGTATAACAGGGGAAGGGTTCACAGGGGTCGCGCGGGCATATTCCATTCAGCACGCCAGCCGGTCGTGGGCAGATGGTCGCCGCGTCGCGGAGTGCCTGCTAGGCCTAACTGCCGAGCTCGCTTGGTCGGGTTCGGTGGAATCGTGGCCGTTAGAGCTTTTCCCGTGTGTTTGTGCATCCAGCGTTTTTGTTCGTCGTGGTTTGTTTCAAGTACTATTTACCTTTTTCTTCCTGCTTGAAGTCGGGACGCGTGAGAAGCGCAGTTAGAAAAAATAAACGTCCGTGGGTCGTCGCGACCGCGATGCTGTAGGCCATGCTGATTTGATCGTAAGAAGTGCGTAAGACAGCTTCGGAGCTGTCGTAGGAATTCGTAGTAACCTGCGCAAAACTTACGAAAATTTCGTTTCGTGAATACGAATTTGTTCTTAAGTTTTATCTTACGCACATTTTTGGCGTAAGATCGTTTTGTGAATCTGGCCTCTGCACTTTCGAAAGTCGCAGGAAAGATAAGACAGACGCAGACGACGTTCCGAGCTGACGGCGTTGCAAAGGAGCAGACGACGCTCAGATAGGGAGTCGCGATCAGCCAATCAGGGCTCGGCGTTCTGACGTCACCGCTACCCCCTGCGCAAGAAGCAGACGAACTTGCCCTCCACATAGACATATCGCCGGGCACGTTGCCGAGCGAGCGCGTGGCCGAATGGTTACAGCTCTTGGCTATCAAGCGGAGGCTGTTGCAGATTGGAAAGAACTTGAAGCTCACGAGAAACGAGAAGAAAGAAGAAGGCTCGAGGCACGAGCGGAACGAGGCGAACGACAGAAGCCGATCGAGACACCTCTGTGTAATGATGTATATTCAATTGATTTATTAGTGTAAATACAGTTTGTGTTTTGTTTTTACGCTTATTGCCTCATTTAAATACGACGCCCACACGACCTCTTTGATTCTGAGACAATATGGTGCCGAAACCCGGGAACGAGAACGATTGAGGTGAGCGGATTTTCAACCTTTGTGGAACACCTGCCTGGAACGCTGTTTCCGAGAGCTGTGTCGGAGATCGTCAAATATGGAACGTCTCAAGGCAAAACGTGGAGTGAAGCGGTCGCAGAACACGAAAATTATCCACGAGGCGATAGCGGGGATGGAGACAGCGGACTTGGCATCGCTGACTGCCTGGCTAGAAAGGTTGAAGGCCAATAACAGGGCTCTTCAAGAGTTGAACGTGGAGATAGAAGATCATATATCGGAACAAGACCTCGTCGCAGAATACACTACGGTCACGGAGTACGACGACGAGGCCATCCGAATGATGGCGCTGTTGGACTGCAAGGCAGACTCACTGAGACGTAAAGAACAACAGGCGCAAGCCACCCAGATGACCACATCCGCGACAACATCTGCGAGTGCCACCACAGACCTGGGAAGAAATCGCACCAACATGACTAGCGGTGTGAAGCTTCCCAAGTTACTTCAAACTTTCAACGGCGAGGTCAGCCGTGGCAGAGCTTCTGGGAGCAGTTCGGTCGTGCTATCCACGAAAACGATAGCATTCCACGATCGGACAAGTTTCAGTACCTGCGCAACCATGTCACCGGACCAGCGGCGGCGGCCATCGCTGGGCTCCAGGCAACTGAGGCCTGCTACGACGATGCCATTGAAATCCTGACACTGCGCTTCGGTGATAAACGAAGGATCGAGCAAAATCATCTGGCGAAGCTCCGAGCACTGCCCCCTGTTGCCTCCGCGAAAGACACGAAAGGCCTCCGAAAGATGTACGATCACGTCCAGACGAACATTCGAGGTCTGAAAGGGCTCGGCGTGCGATCGGCAACGTACTGCACGATGATGTCCGATATCCTCCTCAAGGCCTTGCCGAGCGAAGTCGTCGTAAATTATCACCGGCAGCAGGCAAGCAGCACTGCCTACAGGTCGACGGGAGAAACGCAAAACAGTCCGACTTCACTGACTTCACCAGCGGTGCAGGACACCGGACACTTTGTCGACGGACCACTTTCTACCCGGAGCGCTTCAAGGCCGCCCTTTTTCGCCGATGCCGAAGATGAGCTCGCCGATATTCTAAGCTTCCTTCGGATCGAAGTTGAGAGTAGGGAGAGAGCCGGAGTAGTAGAAGAACGGCAAGAGACGCAGAAGAAAAAGACTGAAAGACCCAGAATGCCAGCAACCTCTGTGCTACATGCAAATATCACTAGCCCCTGCTTCTTTTGCCGGTCCACAAAGCACGCAACAGAAGTATGTACTGGCGACCTCACGTTAGAGGTGAAGAAAAAAAGGCTGGCGGAAGAAAACCGCTGCTTCAGATGCACAATCGGAGAGCACCGGGCGAGGGAGTGTCGGCGGAAGGTGACATGCGCGTCGTGCTCCGGTCGACATGCCACATCCATGTGCGACCCGAACTGGAAACCTAACGTGAAGAAATCGGATAGAGGTGCCCCTGCAACAAGCGTCCAGAACGCAATCTCCGACAGTGCTGACGTCCCATTGGATTCTGAAGTGCTTCTTCAAACGTTCCGAGCCTGGGCTGAGGAAGGAAACCAAAGACTTTACGTGCAAGCCATTATCGATGGAGGTAGCCAACGGACTTTCATTCGTGAGGGTCTTTCTCGCAAACTCGGCCTCAAGGTTCTGGGATATGTTAGCCTCCGGCTAAATACGTTCGGCCACTCCACGTCACGACCGCAACGTCGGCGACTAGTACAAGTACGGTTGCACAGCCAATACGGCCAAGAAGAGTGCGTCATCGAAGCCGTCGAGGTACCCTTCATCTGTAAGGACGTTGTGCAGGTACCCGTCGACCACGAATTTGTTCGCCGTATGATGAAAAACGGCCGTCGTATTGCGGACATGCTTCTTTCCCCTCTGGCCACTGCTGAAGAGGGCATTTCCCTTCTGGTCGGTTCAGACCAGTTGTGGCGAGTGAACGGTGACCAAGTGCTGCATTGCAAGGAAAATCAGAAGCTGGTAGCTATAAGCATCATTTTTGGCTGGACCTTTCAAGGCCCAGTGTCAAACCACAGCTCTCTCAAAGGCAGCGCCAGCAGCATGGTATGCGTGCTAAGAACGGAATGCTTCACGAACGAGGACGTCGGAGACATTCTGCGGCGTTTTTGGGAGCTAGAGAGCATCGGAATTTCTGACCAGCCCTCCAGCAAGATGGAAGAACAGAACGAACTGCTGAACGAGTTCAACCGAACAATACGGAAAGTGAATGGACGGTACGAAGTCGGTCTACCGTTCAGGGTCGGCGCGGGAGAACTGAAGGATAACCGCACGCTGGCATTGAAACGTCTTGAGAGTTTGAAGAGGAGATTGTCACGCGACGAGTCCTTCGCAAAAGATTACGACAACGTCATACGCAGCTACATCACCTCAGGACACGCAGAAAAAGTTTCAACGAGCCCATTTTGCGCCGAGTCGACAAACCCACGGATTTATTATATGCCCCATCAGCCCGTAATTCGGAATGAATCCGAAACCACCAGGCTGAGAGTCGTCTTCGACGCTTCGTCTCATCTCCCAGGAGTTGCTTCACTCAACGAACAACTGGAAAAAGGGCCGAATTTGAACGCCGATCTGGTCGGAATCTTGGTGCGCTTCCGTCTACACCCAATCGCCTTAACAGCGGACATAGAAAAGGCGTTTCTGCAGGTCAGCGTTCGACCTGAAGATCGAGACGTCCTACGCTTCCTGTGGTTTCAGAGAGATTCGTCGTCAGCAAGCTCTGAACCAACCGTTGAAGAGTGGAGGATGACGAGAGTGCCCTTTGGGACATCGGCCAGCCCCTTTCTACCAACCGCCACTCTTACTCATCATCTGAGCAACGTCAATGGAGAATTGCGATCGACTGCGGAACTGCTTCAACGGGGATTCTACGTCGATGACCCCCTGATCGGAGCCCCCCACTATTGAAGAAGCGGCGCGAATACGGGAACAAGCCAGCCAGATTTTAGAAGATGCAGGAATGAGACTCCGGAAGTGGTCTACCAACGCGACAGAACTGCAAAGATCGTTCGATAAAGCTGCATCAACGTCTGCACTCTCTGAGCCGAGAGCTGTACTTGGACTTCTTTGGCGACGTGACGCTGACACGCTGACCATTCCAGTGGAGATAATCCTGAACTTCGTCACGTGCAGTGGGACGACGAAGCGCTATGTACTCCGTGCATCAGCTAGGGTTTTCGACCCGTTGGGACTCCTTGCTCCGTTCGTTATACGAATCAAGGTTTTGTTTCAAAGAATCTGGGAACAAGGAATCGGTTGGGACGACGATCTAACGGACGACCTACTGGTGCAATGGCGGCGATGGTGCGCAGAACTTCCACAATTAGAAGAGATAGTGATTCCTCGCTGCATCGTGAAGACGCCAAGAGAAGTCATATGTTCTCTCCAGCTACACGTCTTCTGCGACGGAAGTCCGGTGGCCTATGGCACTTGTGCCTACCTGAGGGCTGAAGGAGAAGATGGGAAGGTAGAGGTGAACTTGATATTCTCGAAATCACGTGTGGCGCCCATAAAGCGAATAACACTACCTCGACTAGAACTAATGGCTGCAGTGATTGGAAGACGGATGGGCCAGTGTCTTGGAGAGATCATGAACATTCAAGAGACATTCTACTGGACAGATAGCGCTATCACACTTCACTGGATCCGCGGGTCAGCAACTCAGTGGAAGCCCTTTGTGGCAAATCGAGTGGCAGAGCTCCAATCTGGAGGGTCACCTTCTACATGAAAGCACTGCCCCGGACAAGAAAATCCGGCAGATTCGATGACGCGGGGAATATCTGCGGAAACTCTAAAAGGTATGCAATTGTGGTGGAAGGGTCCAAAGTGGCTTGGTAAAACCGAAGACGTATGGCCGAACCTCGTCATGGGCGACGACGTTCCAGTAGCAGTTATTGCAGAGGAGGGAAAGCTGGAACATCACGTATTGCAGACTGCAACAGAGGGGATTGCACCTCTATTGGAACTTGAACGATACGGGGCGCTGGAACGGATCCTCAGGATTACTGTATGGATTATGCGGTTTGTAAAGAACTGCCGAACGCGGCGAAGCCGACGTGAGGGCCCGCTAGCGTCCGAAGAACTTGAACGAGCCGAGACTTGGTGGATCGCACGAACGCAACAGGAAGCTTTTACACAAGAAGTGAACGGTCTAAAGACAGATAAGAAACTGGAAAGGCGATCCAGCATAGTCTCGCTCGCCCCCTTCATTGACACCGACGGATTGTTGTGAGGGGGGGGGACGACTGCAACAATTAAACGAAACAGTCGAGATCAAGTACCCGCTTTTGCTACCTCCCGATCACCGCTTCACTGAGTTATTGGTAAGAGACTGCCATCGTCGAACACTGCACGGCGGACTTCAGGACACATTAACCCAAGTCCGAGAGCGGTTCTGGATACCGCGAGCAAGACAGCTGGCCAAGAAGGTCATCAACAAATGTAATGGTTGTCGGTTGGCCCGACTCAAGCCGGCTAACGCTCCGACCGCACCTTTGCCGCAGGATCGCATTACCCAAGCGAATCCTTTTGAGGTGGTCGGGATCGATTTTGCCGGTCCACTGATGGTAAAGACTGCAGCATCAGATGAAAAGTCGTACATTGCGCTTTTCACATGTGCGGTGACAAGAGTCATACACTTAGAGCTTGTCTCCAACCTATCGACAGAGGCGTTCATCATGGCCTTCCAGAGCTTTACTGCTCGACGGGGCTTACCCAGTGTTGTCTACTCAGACAATGCCCTCACCTTTAAGAGGGCAGCAAAGGACTTATCCGGTGTATGGGATGTGCTCATGAACCGCCGCTTCCAGGACCACTGCTCACAGCATCGGATAAAGTGGAAGTTTATCGCTGAGAGAGCAGCCTGGTGGGGCGGGTTCTGGGAAAGGATGGTCCAGACAGTGAAGCGTAGTCTAAGGAACATACTAGGAAGCAACAAGTTTAGTTTCGAAGAACTAACGACCATGCTCCAAGAGGTGGAAGCCGTCGTGAATTCTCGACCTTTGGCCCCTGTTAACGACGCTCCACACGAGCAGGAGGCTTTAACGCCTGCGCACTTCTTGTTGGGCAGGCGTCTGACGGCTTTCCCATCAGTCAACCTAGAAACTATACCAGGTTCTGCGAGAAAGGACATTACCAGACGTTGGCTATACAGGCAGCAACTACTGGACCGATTCTGGCGGAGATGGCGGAAGGAATACCTCCTTCAACTCCGCTCCGCACACCGATCGCCCGAGACGCGGACAAACGACCTACAGAACGGGGATCTCGTTCTTGTTCACGAAGACAAGACCCCACGGCTCATGTGGAAAACGGGGAGGATCGAAACAGTTCAGCTGGGCAGAGACAACCACGTGCGTTCCTGTCTAGTGCGCCTACCGAGCGGGGTAACGCTTCGGCGCCCCGTGCAGCTCCTTTACCCACTGGAACTGGCAAGTGAATGAACCGAGGCAACTCTCACGCGGAAAAAGAAAGACGGGGGGGGGGGGGGGGGGGAGGATGTTGCAGATTGGAAAGAACTTGAAGCTCACGAGAAACGAGAAGAAAGAAGAAGGCTCGAGGCACGAGCGGAACGAGGCGAACGACAGAAGCCGATCGAGACACTTCTGTGTAATGATGTATATTCAATTGATTTATTAGTGTAAATACAGTTTGTGTTTTGTTTTTACGCTTATTGCCTGATTTAAATACGACGCCCACACGACCTCTTTGATTCTGAGACAGAGGCTCCGGTTTTGATTGCAGGAAGCGGACGCCTCTTTTGTTCATTCTTTCAACTTGACATTCTCGTAAGTTGGAGAAGCTTGTCGCCTTATCGAGTTACGAATGCTCTACGCGCCGAACGTTGTACGCCAAATGTTCCAGAAACCCACACGGGTACAAACGATGCTCCGCGTGGCAGACATGAGTCAGTGTCGAACCAGCGTTCGATCCTGCTGTTACGCCGCCATCGACACCCGGGGCGCTGTATTGTTGCATCGACGTCCCCGACGTTCTATTGTTCTCCTTTGTTTTATTTTTATTTTGGGCACAACTTCGCCCCATTAAACGTTGGCTCGTTTCAGTTGTCGTCACCTCGTGTTTCGTCATTCCTGGAGATATAATGGTCGAGAGACTGAAGATAAAGACTAGACCGAGGGTAGTTGAAGGTGAAGATATTAAAAAAAATGGTTGAGAGTGTCCCATGTGTATGTGCTGTCTCCATGTGAGTTTTTTTTTTTTCTTCTGTTGTTCAAACTGTCCCGTTTTCACCGCCTAATTTGACAAAGAAGTTGATGTCACAACACCTGATGTCACGTGAAAAATACACCAGTGTAGCTTCCCGTTAAATTTAGAGAGCAAATCGACGTTACGTAACACAACACGGAGTGACCTCAACTATACATATTTACTATTCTAATAAATTAAAATGATAACTTAAACACTCCGTTTCATTCATGATAGAGGACTTTGAAGGTAAATGTCATTGCCAATTTCTAGTAACTATATTCGGTTCCACCGTGTCACTCTTACGCGCTGACCCGAAGGGTGTTGCACGCGCTTACGCGCACACGTACACTCACGTGTGAGGACACCCTAACCAAATCACTGTCCTCAGTGGCTGCCAATCAATATTTAAATCTCTTCCTTTAAAGAGGTCTATTGGCCAGTGACCACCTCGTCAATCTTTGATGCTACAAATTTGATGCGGCTTTCGCACCAGTTTTGTTCTCCAGGAATTTTTTTAAACATTTCAGGGATAGAATACCTTACTAAGAAGTAACGGTGCACAATAATTATTTTTCAAATCACAATTGGGCAGCCGTTCCATAGGCTCCCAGCAGCAACGTCCCCGTTATTTGCAGCTGCCGCAACTAGTGGTGGTTACCAGCTAAAGCATTCAAGCTAGTAACAGCTGCAGTTACTATTACCTGTCGCGCATTAGATGTTGTAAAACTATAGTGATTAATGTACTAAATGTCAGAAAAAATACTAACTGGGTCAATTACAATTTTTTTTTTTTTTTTAAGAGTGTAGGGAAGGAATTGGAGGAGCGTTCCGCTCGAGAAAACACTTGCCCGCGGTTCCGAGCGCAGACCAAGCCGATTTGTGAGAATGCTGACAGCCGGATAGTTATATATGGCTGTCAGCTTAAGAAAGTAGATAGTAATTATTCTCCACGCCCTGAACAGTGTTGCATAACAAAGAATACCCGCATGGAACGACAGTTGGAGAAAAGCTCGACGTCACGCCACCCACGGACAGCGCGACTGGGGGAGCCCGCCGGGGCAGAGTGTGGACGCCATGGCCAATCCGGCCAGCCAAGACGGGCGTCCTGGATTTCGGCGGTCCTACTCACAGGGCGTTGAGCCCTGGAGGTGGCAGTGCCGGAGGAGCAGAGCAGTGGAGCCGGTTGAAACCGACAGGGTCCACTACTGAACTCAAAGGGGGTAGGGAGTCCAACATCCCCCGCCGTTGGGAATCTTCCGTGACACGGGTCAACACCGTTTATGCCGGGGGGACCCCCGTTACACAACGGCCACCTACACGGCGTACAAGTAACAGGGGCCAGTCCACTTCGTCTTTCGGGTAGTGCGGAAACAGCAACCAAAACCACAGGCAGGTCAACCCGGCGACACCATCCAGCCGCCCTTTGGAGGACATACGCTTGCCCCTTTGGCCCCCGCCGTGGACCATAAGAACAGAAGCGTGCTGGGCGCTGTTTCCCTCGTACCCGGAAGACATAAAAGGCAGCAGATATGCACAAAGAGCAAATGAAGAAGCTGGCTCCCTTGCCAACGTGGAAGCCGCAGTTCAGCGGCTCCGTGGAGAAAGGCTCGTACAACCTTTGGGGCCCACCCCGCCGCCACCAACGCCGCTCGAGGCCCCACAGACGTCGCCGTACAGACCTCATCGCCGTCCATCTGACCCATGCATGTCGCTGCTCTAATGGCCGTCGGGGACGCACTCATGCTTAAGCCCGGTAACTTCCTCTCTAAAGGAAGCCGCCTTCAAGCTCCTGCTGCTCAACGTATGAAGAGAGAGAGGGGGGGGGGGGGGGGTATCGCAGCCGGGAGGTGGTAGGACTTGGGCCTGGCGGGCTAAGACAAAGACGAGGACTGCACGGGGCAGAGCATGGGTAGCGCGATCGAAGACGGTTGGCTACGGAACGGTAAATCCTTTCCTACCTGGCGTTTTGTGATCTTCTTGGCGGTTGATGCGGGGCCCGACCGGGCGTTGGCTAAAGTAGACACCCGCAAGCTAAAATAAAATTAACTGCCGAAGAAGCCGGCAAGGCGCAGATAAGTCTCGGAGGTTGTTGTAGAAGACATGTTTGATTGGCGATCGATCTCAAACTACGATAAACTATAATCAATGTATAATTAAAACAGCATTTAAATATGTGTGCATTATTAGTAGTACATACTTTTATTTTATTCACAAGTTGTTATTTGCACACAATTAAAAAAAATTAGTAGTTGTAGTAGTAAATTTTCTTTTGTCCGAGATGGGGTTTAGTTAGGAGGGGACTGGGAGGGCCCGTCTTCTTGTTCTCTGCCGGCGGCCCGGCCCTCCGCTTTGACGGCGTCTTTGGCCACCTGGCCGACCCGGAGTTGGAGATCCGGGTCTGAGCTAAGCGGTGAAGTCTCCTACTGCTCTAGTGTGGTAATGGGAAGGGGAGGTAATGAGGTGGTGCGCTTTAGGTACTTATCAGAGGGCGCGACAACAAGATGTGGTAAAAATTGGCCATACCTGCACATAATTTTATAATCTGCTGTATATAGCCCGGATACAGGTGACTTTACGTCATTGGGTTTGGGAATGTGCGCGTTTGTAAAAGGTTTTTTCAGAGCGGCTGCGTAGTGCCCCCTGCCCTGTCTGTAGTATTGTAGAATTTCTTTGTAGGACACTATACGGTACCTACCTGGACGACGAAGGGATAGGAGCTGCGCATTGTGAAAGGTTGTCATTCGGCCGCGGATGGCCTGTTCTCGGGGCGCTCTGTGAACAGCATTGTTTCCGGGGAGACCGGAGTGCGCGGGTGCCCAAACGAGTTATGTCCATCTGCGCCGCGCTTCGGGTACCTGGTCTAGACTTTCGGGGGCTTCAGGCAAAAAGCGTCCTTTCGCTAACTTTTCTATGGCTATCTTTGAGCCTATCTTTATGAATTTCGCTATGGATGAGGCGTACGCCAAGGCTATTGCGACTTACTCCCCGACCTACGGCGAGGTTGTTATGCCTGTGCTTGCAGCGATGGTTTTATTTTGATGTTGACAGCCACATTCAAGGCGTTTCGATCACAATACTCGGCCGCTTCTACATAGGCCACGTCTTGAGAATTTGCGTGGCAAATTTGTAAGGCTCTAGCTCTTTCCTTTCTCTCTTGGTTTCGCAGAGTGTGGGTGTTTTCAGGTAATGGTTGGACTTGAATGTGTTTTTAGAGCTCTCTGGGAATATCCAGCTTTGGTCCGAATCGGGTGTTGTATGTAATGCCGAGTGATTGGACAGTGTGTTGAACCATAAGGGACTGCGAGAGTCTCTCCTTTTGGGTAATTCTTTGGGCTTCTATGAGCTCACCAAGAGTATTGTGTATTCGTAGAGCCTCAAACGTTTGGCTTCGGTGGTAATTGGGAGGTGTAGATCCTGCTTGTAGGCTCCCTTGATTATGAGGTTAATTTTGGTACGTTTATCACTCTTTAGTTGGTGGAATGGGGTAGCGTAGACTATTCTGCTTATAACGAAAATCTGTATCAGTTTAAGTAGATTCGTTTCTTACATGCCGTAGTGACTTTTTGTGATACGCGAAATGAGTCTTGTCGCTTGGTGCACGTACGAGTATAGTGCCCAAATCACTTAATTGTTGTGTCCATTTTCATGTATTCTGAGTCCAAGAATCCTGATGCTCGATACCCTTTGAAAGCCATTCCCTTAGCTCTGAGCGTCATTTGAGGTGGTATGGAGGCAGCTTTTTTTTTTTTTTTACCCCTGCAGGTAGTAACTCTGTCTTTTGCGGGAAGCTGGAGAGTTCTTTAGGTGTTACGTACTCCTTGACTACATTGATCGCGATTATGATGCAGTTAAATAGTCAAAGGTTGCGTATTCGGCATTTTGTTAACCTTTTATTTCACCCGGTGATGTTACAAAATAGGGGTACTGACACTAGTTAAAATTATTAGTTTTTCCTTGACATATTTTAGTATTCTTTAAACACACCCTTAGCGTCTTACAGAGCCTTTGCTTATTATATACCAACGAACAATAAATCATTATTGTCAGTAATTTCAACGGCATACTTTATTAACGAATATTTTAACGTATAATATTTTAATGGACTTTTGCGCGCAGTTCTTTAGCGGTGAGGTTCCTCAACGTGATTACGATGAAGCATCTAAGGTAAGCGAAGTACACAAACCAAAGCAGATTATATACCACAATACTGATATATATTGTCACGGGTGGTGAC